CCGTTTCCAATGGTGGAGAGACGGAGTCCTCTGGTTCTATCATCCACCAGAGCTACACTCCGTTCAGTGCTAAATTCGTTGCAACCCGTCGCTACCGGCGGCGAACGAGCTTTGACTAACGACGGGGGCAGCTCCGATTTGATACGGAGGAGCGTTAAGTTATCGGCGGGGATTCTCCGGTGCCATAGTGACGGAGAAAATGTTTCCGATGTAAAATTAGATTCTTTAGATGACTCTGCATTGATTGGACTCTCGACTCAATTGCTCAAGAGACTATCTATCAACTCTGGCTCTTTGGTAAGTCCTTATCTTGTTCAGTCCTCACTTACTTACATAACAGAAATTGGAAAAATGAATGCTTTATACATGATTGTTATTTGATTGCGTTATACAGGAAACTATTATATGTTGCTCTGTTTTATTGATTAGCATTCGTGTTGTGACATTGAGTATTAATAATGCAAGGTTGTTATCAACAACATCGAGATAGGGATTCAACGAATAGCGCAAGTTGTTGTACTTGATCCTCCGAAGGCGACGCCGGAAGATGCATTTGTTACTGGCGTGCCGATTTCGGATGCTCATCGTACGATGATTGTGTTTCCCACTTATGATTTGACTCAACAAGAACACTCTCTCTTGTTAGATCAAGAGGTTGCTTATTTGTCTCCAATGTTAGCTTTTAATCTTAGCTTGCACATTTCTTGCCTGAAATCCCTTGTCTATCGAGGGAACGAGGTTTTGGAGAAGTATTTTGAAGCTAAGTTTGGTGAGGAGTTAAATGGAAAACTTACGACAGATGCGTCAAAGATTGGTTTGGATTTGGAACCTGTGTCCGAAGTTCCAGGATATGCATCACATCTGAGAGTTTCTTTTGTTAAAATCCCAGAGTGTGGTGCTATTCAGTCCTTGAAAATCAATTCGTCAATTGAAGCTGAAGAGCGACAACGGTTGATAGATTCTGCATTGCATAAGTATTTTGGAATTGATAGACAGCTTTCAAGAGGCGATGTTTTTCGGATTTACATTGACTGGAACTGTGGTTCAAGCATTTGTATTCCATGTAGTCAAAGGTTATGCTCCAAAAGCGAGAACTTTATATATTTCAAGGTAAAATACTGTATTATTTTTCTCCCAGAAAAAAAAAAAACTAATTTTGGCCAGAACTTACTGAATAGTAGTTCCTGTGTTCAGGTCATCGCGATGGAACCTTCTAATCAGAGGTTTCTTCGAGTCAATCACTCCCAAACCGCTCTTGTACTTGGAGGAACTGTTTCTTCTGGTCTTCCACCCGATTTACTCGTATCTAGATCAAAGGTTCCTATGCCTTTGCAGGAAGACACAGTAAATATTTTGGCGTCGGTGCTTTCCCCACCTCTCTGCCCATCAGCACTCTCCTCAAAACTCAGGGTTGCTGTTTTACTGCATGGTCTTCCAGGTACTTTTGCTTCTCTTTCATCAATAACATTCTCCTCTTTAATATTTTTTTTAAGTGTTGATATACTAAGAAGGAAATTCTACTAAGAGCCTATTTTTTGTGTTTACCAATTATGGTGATTTGGAGAAGCCAATATCCATATCTTTTTAATTCTTGCATATAAATGAATCATGTGCTAATAGCTTTTTGTATCTAATACTTGTTTAAGGGTGCGGAAAGAGAACTGTTGTTAACTATGTTGCTAGGAGGTTGGGCCTGCATGTAGTTGAATATAGCTGCCACAGTTTATTAGCATCATCTGAAAGGAAAACATCTACTGCTTTGGCCCACACTTTTAATATGGCAAGAAGGTAAAATGGTATAGTCTTTTTGGAAACATATTTTTTATCCAGCTTGGCTAATGTGTTCTTTCATTTTCACAGGTATTCGCCAACGATACTTCTGCTCCGCCATTTTGATGTTTTTAAAAATCTGGGCTCTCAGGATGGTTCACTAGGTGAACGAGTTGGCGTGTCCTCTGAGATTGCCTCGGTTATTAGGGAACTCACTGAGCCAGTTTCTAATGGTGAATACACTTCCATGGATGAAAATTCGAATGGCAATTTTGTAAGATTTGCATTTCTTTCCTTGGTTTTCCATTTCATGTTGCACACTTTCACTCAAGTTCATTCTTCAGTTTACCCAATGCTTATTCGTATATCTGCTAATGCAGTCTGTAGATGAATTTGGGAAGTTTAGAGGACACCAAGTGTTGTTAATCGCATCTGCTGAAAGCACCGAGGGTCTCTCTCCAACAATCAGGCGTTGCTTTAGCCATGAAATACGTATGGGTTCTTTGAATGACGAACAGAGATCTGAGATGCTGACTCAGTCCCTCCAAGGTGTTTCTCAACTCTTTAATGTATGTGAGTACAATGCTCTTAATTTTAAGTATTTGCTTAAACTAAATCATACCTCTCATTGAAATCTAAGAGATTCCAAATCCAATCTTCAGGCTTGATGCTTAGATATTTTCATATTGTAGACCAGCTCAGATGAATTTTTGAAAGGATTGGTGGGACAGACTTCTGGTTTCTTCCCTCGGGACTTGCGTGCTCTTGTAGCTGATACTGGTGCTAACTTATTCATCAGTAAAGAGTCCGAGACCGAGAAGATTAACTCTCCGTCGGATGATCTACATGGAGTTGATGTCGACCAAGCAAACCAATTCCATAACAGCAGTGAGACATTAACAGCTAAGGAAGACTTTACTAAAGCATTGGACAGATCAAAGAAGAGAAATGCATCAGCCCTTGGTGCTCCTAAGGTAACCTTACCACAAGTGTTTTTCTCGGTTTCCAATTTATGAGACAGCTTTGCATATTTGTTACTGGATATGCAGATAACTTAAGAGTTTAATTTGCATTCTTAGGTTCCTAATGTGAAATGGGATGATGTTGGTGGGCTTGAGGATGTGAAGACATCGATATTGGACACAGTTCAATTACCTCTCCTGCATAAAGATTTATTTTCTTCTGGATTACGTAAACGTTCTGGTGTGCTTCTCTATGGCCCTCCAGGAACAGGGAAAGTAAGTAAGCCGTTATTGTTTTGTGACTGTTAGCGTCTGTTTTTGGCACTTATATTTATGGCTTCTTGATTTAAATTCATAGACTTTACTGGCAAAAGCTGTGGCGACAGAGTGCTCCTTAAATTTCCTCAGTGTAAAAGGTCCAGAATTAATCAACATGTATATTGGAGAGTCGGAGAAAAATGTTCGAGATATATTCGAAAAGGTAATTTTTATTTCTTGTTCCTTAGAAGAATAATATTAAACATATGGCCCCGATTCGTAAAGTAATTTGTTTTCTTCAAATGCAGGCGAGGTCAGCGCGGCCTTGTGTGATCTTCTTTGATGAGCTTGATTCTCTTGCTCCAGCTCGAGGTGCTTCTGGTGATTCTGGAGGAGTTATGGACCGAGTGGTCTCTCAGATGCTTGCAGAGATTGATGGACTCAGTGATTCTTCCCAAGATCTGTTTATTATAGGAGCAAGCAACAGACCTGACTTGATTGATCCAGCTCTTCTACGACCTGGCAGATTCGACAAACTTCTATACGTTGGAGTCAACTCTGATGCGTCTTATAGAGAAAGGTTAATCATTTAAACTATTGAAACCATGATTTTTGTTCTCTGACAGGAAAAAAAAAAGACACTCTCTGATCCTTGTTTTTACAGGGTCCTTAAAGCACTTACTCGGAAATTTAAGCTGAGTGAAGATGTATCGCTTTATTTAGTAGCAAAGAAGTGTCCTTCTACATTCACTGGCGCTGATATGTACGCATTGTGTGCTGATGCTTGGTTTCAGGCAGCTAAGCGAAAGGTGAGAAAGAGAGACACTTGAAGACTATATTAATCTTATTCTCTCTTTTATTTTCTGATATTCTCTGTAATAGCTTCACGTTCTATATGCGTCCTTGGCAAATGCAGGTCTTGAATTCAGATTCAGGGGATTCTCCTCCAGAAGATGATCCGGATTCAGTCGTTGTAGAGTATGTGGACTTTATAAAGGTAAAACCTTTTTCCCTCATCTACTCAAAGAGGAAACTTTGGTTTGATTCGGGTTTAATCATTCTCACTTTGTCATTGTAGGCAATGGATCAGCTCTCGCCATCACTTTCCATAACAGAGCTTAAGAAGTATGAGGCGCTTCGAGACCAATTCCAAGGCCGATCCACCTAAACTTCTCAGTATAATAGGATACCAAACAAATTACAGAGCAAACCCCATTAGCCTCTTATAGCTCAATAAACTCAGTTGAATAAATGATTAGTTTTTGTTATATAAATTGGTTTGTGATGTGTTTATTTCATATATGTATGTCTTGGTGTCTGCAATTTTGTCTGCATTTTTTTGTCCGCACAAGTGATTCTTAATTTGGGTGGAAATTACGGCCTTGACCACTTTAAAAGATGACATCACGTCACGTGGAACTTGCTTTGTTGTTGTTCGGGCTAAGCTGGTCCGAAATTTTTGACC